CCCCAGCTCCTGTCAACCCAGCAGCTCGAAAACCTACGTGAGTAGATAAATGGGTACTCTCACCCCGGTGGGAGGAAACATGCTGGTGGCGCTTGCACGGGACACGGGAGCAGTTGCTGGTAACGCGGAAGCCGCGCACACCCGAAAAAGGCGTGAAGCAACGGAAACCCCGCCTCCTGCGCTCGCCAGCCGGGCCCTGCTCTAGGAAGGAGGCAATGACAAACCACTACCGAAACACCTTGCCTTGAAAACTGTAGGGACTCGTCCAGGCAGTCGCCACAGAATTGGTAACAATCAAGTGCAGATTAAAAAAAAAACTATACCTCATCAAACGCAGTGAGACATAAACTGTATTTAACAAATTTTGGCTATCCCAAATTTTAAAAATGTTTTTGTACAGCATTTTTCCATGAAAAGTGCCCTTTAACAATGAACCTAGTTATTTTTATCAACTGTTGTGCATTCACCAGTCCAGCATTATGATTTTCCTACTACCTATGAACAGCATAGAACTGGGTTAGAGCTTTAAAATAAAGACAAGAAGCAAACACAAGACAAAAGTGAAACAAATCACGGCAAAAATAGCTCATGAAAATGAAGTCACTTTTGGAAACAAATATTTCTTGTCCCTCTTCATAAAAAATGGAATCACAATGTACTTTTCCTTCCTCCTCCCCCCACTACAAAAAAAAAAAAGAATAGAACAGGATTTGGAACCACGTGGAATTAAATGATTAATTTAGTTCTGCTAAGGATCATGGAATTGTTGAATTGGTATTGATTCATTGGTACAAGTAGTTAACAACTTGGTTAACAACTGCCTTGTTTAGCGACCATTCAAACTTACAATGGCGCTGAAAAAGTAGGTTTATGACCAGTCTTCAAACTTATGTCAGTCGCAGCATCCCCATGGTCATGATTACGATTTGAGCACTTGGCACTGACTCACGATTATGACATCACAGTGTTCCATGATCATGTGATTGGTATTTGCGACCTTCACAGCCAACTTCCAACAAGCAAAGTCAATGGGGAAGCCGGCGGTAAGCAAGACATGGATGTGTGACATCACACTTAACGACTGCAGGTTATTGACTACAGAACTGACATCCTAAGTTGGATGCGGTTATGTGATGTTTCACTTAACAACCACATTGCTTAGTGACAGAGTTGCCAGTCCCAATTGTAGCCATTAAGTGAGGACTACCTGTACTAATTTTGCAGTTGCTCAAACATGGAAAATATTCTCTTACTTGTTTGTATTGATGTTCTGACTGTATCTTTTAGATTTATAACTTCTAAATATATGACATATGGTAGATGTGAAATGTATGACATTGCCTACAGCCAACTTTTCAATCTTTGGAAAAGTCACTTTTATGTGAGATGGGCAGCTTTATAAATATGATAGATAGATAGATAGATAGATAGATAGATAGATAGATAGATAGATAGATAGATAGATAGATAGATAGATAGATAGATAGATAGATTTTTATCCGAGTATAGAAAACAGAAATTTGCTATGGGAAGTACAGCCATTTCCCTGAAACCTTCTCCCAATATGGGCCAAGAGACTTAATGATTATAGTCAACTCTATACTCTTTAAGACCATGGAACAAACAAAACATTATTCTTCTCTCTATAAATGGAATCATACCATTGGAGTTATATGGCTAGTACCATGATCTTCACAGACCTGAACCATACCAAGGTAACTGCACATAATAATTACCTTAATTTGTTCCCAATTTGCTAATCTAACATTAAGGCATTAATTCAGATGTAATGATCAACACTGGCTTGATACAAGGCAGGAACTTTAGGAGGGAAGAAGTGCATTTAGCCTGAAGTTTGTTTCCGTCTTTCTTCTCAATTTTTTAATTATATCTGGAATCATTGAATACATGACACTATTCACCTCTTATTTCTATTATTTCAGGGAAAGTTTTTCAAGTCATAACAATACAATATTGATCCCAAATAAATCCTTCCCATTGGTCTGAAAGCATTCTCTTTCAGAAGCAATACATTAAATTGTATTTATCATTGTCAGTACCTCCATCATCTTTATATAGGCAGATTCCCTATGATATGTTGTAAGAGGAACCAGATTTAAGGCCCATGAGATTTGAAAAGTAATTAACTCAGCAAAATCGATTGTTTCAGCATACCTTATAATGTCTCTTCTTCATCAGTGCCCAAACTACAAAAGCCTTATTCTTCGATACTCATATAGATTACAAAGATTACATAGAAACATTGCAAAAAAAGTACACTTAAAAAGCAAAGTAAGAAAAAATACTTCCACAGCCCTTGTAATATTTCACAGACAATGTACTATGCCAACTACAACTGATTCCATTATTTTCCATTTGTTATTTACTCAAAATTACTAACTGTATACCGATTTTTACTTACTGTGTTATTTCGGCCAAAAAATGTATAGATTGCATACATGTAGTAATCAAAAAGCTGTGACATAAAGTGAATCACATCAAATGCAATGGGCTTCAAAATGTTCATCATCTGCATGTATTTACCTTGAAAAGAAAAAAACAAAGAAAAACAATTCAACTTTCTGACCCAAGAATATCCATATAGAGCAGCATATTTATTGAATTCAAACAAAATCTTAAGCCTTATTATAGCTTTCCCCAACTGAGAACGACAAATGTGTCAAGCACATCTAAGAGAGCCAGTTGGCACTGTGGTTAAGGCATTGGATTAAGTCCTGGGTGACTTGGGCTAAATACTATCATTCAGCCCAATCTCTTCCACAGAGCTGGAATGTATCAGCAGAAGAATGCTATGTACACCACCAAGTATTTCTGAAGGAAAGACAGCATATAAATCTAACAAATCAAACTAAACAATTATCAGAAATCTTGAATCCTAGACATCAATGAAATACCCATAATTTACATTACTCCTGGGCAACATCATATATTCAGATGGAAGTAGAGTGGATGAACTGAGATCTAGTTAAGTTGCTAGAATAAGTGAGATAACAATATGACTCAATTCTGCTTTCCCACTGAGGCCCCTATTTCAGCATGCATCTCCAAAGATTTCCCAATTTCCAGAGCAGTTTTCTGAAGATACAGAGACTGCGGGTGAGCCATAGGAAAGGGATAAAAATTAATGCTCCCCCTTCTTTTTGTCAGAGAATAGATCTGTTTTTGAATATTGTACCACATAACTTGAATCCAACCCATTCTACTACTTGTACTAGTAATACTGAATGTTAGGATTTTGTTCTTGCTGCAATTACTGCAATGCTCAGATTACTGTCAGCAATCCTTCAAATGTATGTTATTTTTTACTTCTGCTTTACTGAGAATGAGGACTCTGGAAAAGCATAAGGAGGTCCATGCATAGCACAGGTTAGCCATCCATATTTTTCTAGAATTCTTAACTGTGAGACAAGCTATGATCAACAGATTCTTCCCTTTCCTGCCTTCATTATAGACACTTGTCTGCATTATTTTTAGCTAGGTGACTCTACCGCCTATGCAGCTCCTCCATTTCAGTAATGTCTGTCTCTATTCAGACAATGGAAGATAACCACCCCAATTAAAATGAAACTATGGGGGTGGGGAGTGGGGTTCAGTAGGACAAATATCAAGTTATTTATACAGCAGAAAACACAAAAATACTCTTTAGTCCACCAATAATTCTTTCTATCCTGATGGCCTTAGCTACTAATGTTCAAGCTTATTCCCATCATCTTAATTCCATGCTGGGTTCCATTTCTTGGCCAAATTATGTGAGATGGAATGCTAGAATTGGGCACACATATGTCCAGTGGAACCTGCTAAAAATGCTGCATGAAAATGACCCTCCTTTCCAAAGATTTCCGACACCGCATTCTACTCTTTATTCAGTGTCATGTCTTCTACCCCAACAGCTAAAAGCACCATCTTGGGTAAAAGCAGTGACATAATCTGAACATCTTAAATCATGGAAATGGTAATAGGAGCCAGAAAATTATAAAGTATTTATGCTGAATGTTCCAATTATAGAAAACCATACCACTTCAAAGAAACATACAACAATCATAATGCATTGTAGGCCTGAACGCAAGAGATGCACTGTATATTTTTAACTCAAATGAAACCAAAAGTAGAACCCCTCAGTCATACGAACAAACATTGAGTTTCTAATACTTCTGGGTGCAATGCAAGGAGCTGGTTATTACTTGCAAAGCCCTTCACGGCACAGGGCCAGGTTATTTGCAGGACTGCTTATCTCCAATTATTTCTGCCCTTCCCACAAAATCTGACACGGGAGGCCTGTGATGGGTCCCTTCTATTAAGCAATGTTATCTGAAGGAGTCATGCATTTTCAGTTGTAGTGCCTACTCTGTGGAATAGCTTACCCCCCCAGGATTAATAAGGCCATTGAAAACTGCTGACCTTCTGTAAGGCCTTGGTTAGGCATTTGGCCAGGATGCAAAGTGAGCCCATCTTTAGCAATTGTTAGTTTGTATTATATAGAGATTGGCCTCCAACATATGTTTTCATTTCTGTTGTTTTGCTGCTTTCTTTGCTGTCCTTTAACCCCAGAGTTGCATTGTGCAAGAACACTGGTTTTAGAAAAGAGGTAATCATTTGTGGATTTTTTTTTAAAAAAAGTCAGGCCATTGGTAACTATAGCTTAATTTAGTTTCCAAGTGTTTCTATTTATCTATGACAAGAGGAAAATCAAAACTTTTTTCTTATTCTTTGTTTTCTATGGCTTTAATATAGGTTTAATCATACCGATTTTCTTAAAAATAACAACATATCTTGTTTTAGCTACTCAAATTTTGCAAAGAATAGAAAGACACTGACATAGACCTGGAGAATGTATTTAATGTATTCAGTAATGGTTTCCCATTTTAGGTGGAAGTGCTGAATCTAGACATGTGAGCTACAGTTCTTCCAAACGTGTAGGGTAATGCTAAAAAAACGAACTCTTGCATATTCCCAGTGGTATTCACTGAATATGTTATTCTAGAAATGTAAGTAGTAGGACAAGTTGCACTTCTAAGAAACACTGAGTGCCCACATACACTTTTAAATTGCATTTCTTCTTTAAATGTCATTAACAAAATCAAATATTTCTTCTCTGCCTTCTCTGAACCTCTACTGCTAGCTGACACTCATTTCTCTTTAGTACTATAACACAATAATTCAAGTATTCAAGAACACTTATACGCAGCATAAAAATAATCTACTCTTTTCATGCAGGCACCAATTTTCCAATTTTCTTTTCATATGGCATGTTTAGCTAGCAAAGAGTCTGAAGGACAGTGTATAAGAATCTATGGGCAAAACAAGGTATTCCTTCCCTAAATCATGTCCCTGTAAAATATTTTCCCCACTAGTTGCCAAGAACATTTCTTTATCACTGCATCATTGTGCATCTTTACACCATTTATCTTCCAAGAACATTTCTTCTTCATTCCCACCATAAAACTAAACCAATTTTTCAACTCGCTTCTATAAAACTAGCAACCAGCCAGTAAATTGGTATTTTAAAAAGTCATTACCAGGAAGTTCTTACTTTTTGACTGTACTTTAAGAAAAGCAAAGGCAATGAAAGCAAACATGTACAAAGCGAATCATGTTTCTTGACAAATAGTACAGGTAGTCCTCATTTAGCAACCGCAACTGGGACTGGCAACTCAGTCGTTAAGTGAAGTGTCCACTAAGTAAAACCACAACTGTGCTTATGATTTTACTTCAGCTTTCCTTTGCTTTACAGACTTGTGAAGGTTGTAAATGTGAGAATTCATTGCAAAGTTACTTTTTAATCATCGTTGTAACTGCGAATGGTTGTTAAATGAGGAAGTCGCTAAACAAGGGCTACCTGTACTAGGATATTATTATAGGCAGGGGTGTCTAAAGAGGTGTCATCCAAGTAAAAAAAGGACAGAGCTTTGATTGCGTGGTTGTGGCCCCATTTTGACTTTTTTAGCACCCCTCCATGGACACTCCTGATCTTAGGAATCCTTTCTATCTAAACTACTTTCTACTATGACTTTAAAGTAAACTGCATGGTCACATTTTTATTTAAAGTCTATATTTTATTTTATTATTTCCAAAATATTATCTAGCTTTCAAAGTGCTCAGTGATATGATCAGACTGAGAAAAAATCAAATTATTCTTAATACTATAATGGGTTTATATGATGGTGATTATTCTTATGAAGTTCTGTATCACATTCAATAATTCCATTACATGTTGGTTCAATCTAAGACATCTTTTCCATGGCTAGATATTTTTTCTTAACAGACTTCTTCATCTTCATCTGTACATATGTCAATCTGGACAGATAAACTGAAAGTGGATATTTAAAGTGTTTGTGATTTTATATATATTTACACACACATCCAAATACATACACATGTGCGTGCACATACACAAATGTATGTGTACTCCCAAACTTTTTCTTCCTCTTTTTCAAGTAGTATGTTTTTATCAATTTCTTCAAATAATTCTATAATTGGTCTGTCTTAGTTTATTCTGTTATGCAAATATAAAATATAAAGAAAGGAAGGAAGGAACCATGAAAGGGAAAACGTTTATTCAAGATACGGTTATCCCGAACAGATTATGAACAAGTTATCTGAGATTGCCCTTTACAGTCTGGCAGAGGCGATAACAGGTGATAACAGGAAAGCATTTTTGTTCTATACTTTGAGAGAGAAATTAAGTAGCAGGACGTACCACGAGCCATATCATGTTGTATTTATAGCTTCAAAAATGTATGTGAGCCTAAGTGACGAAGGCTGAAATTCTACACAGAAACACCTAGCCTTGGAAGCCTCTGTTCCCACACTTTCTAAGATTCCTTTGGGGTAAACCTGCTTTTTACTCTTCCAAGGCTTTCATCAACAAACACCCTTTCATGTTCATGCTGGAGTTAGTTAATACATGAAAGCAAATTTTTGCCATTTTTCATCTTTAACTGCTTCACACTGTTACTATGACAATGAATTTTTTTTTTTAAATTGGAATGTTTCACACAGTTAAAAATCTCTGTGGGCATGCCAATTAGCCATTTCTGAGTACAGAACAGTAAAAGCTATACAGAATGCCACTACTGAAGAAATCTAACAAAGCAACATATTTAACAATATGGAATTAATTTTATTAAACATTTTATTAACCAGTAAGTTCTACTTTGGGAACCTTTAAAAAAAACTTGATTAAAACAGGGGCACACAACTTTTTTCTTGGCTGAAACTTGCATTTAGCCTTTGATGACATACTAAGAACTGTACTCCAAAACATGGCAGAGCAAAAACAAAATAGTGGGCATTGCCAAGCCAAATGTTAAATATGGTTATTATAAACTTAATTAAATTTATATTAAATTCAATTCACTAAACCCCATTAATGTCTTTTCTCTCTATGAATTTAATTATTTTCCCCTTTCTGTTAGGTTGAAAATTACAATTTGATTACAGTTCTGTGAGGGCTTTTGGGGACCTCACCCAAAGTTTTGGGAGTTACAAGTTTGGCCTACTATATATCTCTGGTGATTCCAATC